CGATCGAAGGCCGACTGTACCAAGCTGTAGGTTATCTCCTGATTGGGATCTGGGTCCGTTGCCTGCACTGTGAACACGTATGTATTCTCCGGCTGCTCCTCCTTTACGGATGGCGCATAGCCGGCGCAGTTCTTGAACGCGGGCTTTCGATTGTCGCCCAAAAAGCTATCGTATTTGCCGCCCATGTGAAAGGTAGACGTACTCGGGCTGGAGCTGGAGCTGGAGGTACCGGCTTGGAGTGCTTCGACAAACTGGGCGGGTAAACAAGCGAAGGCGGCAACAACAACTAACGCTACCATCGCCGGTCTCTGTGGCCGAAGGCAGGTGTAGCAACTTGTTGTTGTTCTTGTTGTTGTTGTAAAGCGACATTTTCGCTTGTGTTGCTGATGTGGCTGTTGTTGAGCGGGATTCGCATTGCTGTTGCTGCTGCTGTTGTTGTTGTTGTAGTGTTGCGAACGTAACGACATTTTATTGCATTTTCTTCTGTGAACACGGAAGGCGGAAGGAGAGGGGCGTCGTGAATGGGAATTACGGTTTGATCAAGTTGTGAAATTCATAATCGTAGCAATAAACAACAAATTACACTTCTATATCACCCAGTATTTCTGTTGGTGTTTTATTCTATTATTCTGATACTCTCTGTGTGTATGTGTGTGTGTGGTTTACGTTGCTTCACTTTACGTTTTCTATTGAACTCGAATTCTAAAAATTCTCTCTCGTTCTCGGTCTGGCTCTCTTGCGCTCTTTCTTTCCCGCTTTCTCACAATCGTTGGTTTGTATTTGTGTGTTTGGCAGTTTGTTTAGACTGCATTTTCATGGCAACCGACGCACAAATACTTTGTAAAATCGAACTTAAATCAACTAGCAATTAATTTAATTAATTTTCATTCAACTTGCAGCATTTATTCTCATTTAACTTAAGAATAGTATTCACTCGTTTGCTTTGGTATTCACGTTGATTGCCAGGTTTGCTTTGTTCACGTATTCGTTGTTGCGGCTCTACAGCTTATTTCACTGGCACGAACAAACAGGTAAATCCAGGTAAAAAGTGGTTTCATATACACGCAAGCGCGCATACACATATAAAGGCCGCCTCTTTTGCAGGCATGTATGTGTGTGTTTAGGAGCGTTGTTTGGTCTTTGCACTTGTATTTGTTACCAACGCATCAATGTGTGCGTGCGTATGTGTGTGAATGTTGGCAAGACCAAGAGAAAAGGCACTTTTGTTGCTTTTGTGACGTTTGCACAAGTTACAAGCTCGATTTTATTCGTTGTTTAATTGTTCACTGCACTTTAACACAGTAGTTAACTTTATTTAACTTAACGCTTATTAAATTGGACGTATATCGGCGTTTTGTTTTGCTACAATTTTATTCACAATTGCTTTGCGATCTTGTTTGAAAGCAACCGTTAGATTAAATTAAGCGACAACAAGAGCACGAAACTCTCACGAACATCCGCACGATTCAACTGCGAGAGACAGAATGAGCAACAAGCCAAAAATGAGCGGCAAGCCAGTGAGCACAGCGATATTTTAGTTCAAAATATATCGATATAAAATGTAATCGATAGTTTATTGTGAATAATGTTATTTAACCGTAATTACTTTCTTCTTCTGTAATAATCTAACAGCTTGGAGAGTCTGTTAGTGGATGTAGGCTTAGAATAGTTCGAAATCAATTAGAAATAAATTTAATCACTGCAATTTATGAATGTAAGCCATTATTTAATATCTCTCATATATAACTTATTCAGGTGTTTAAGATTAGACGGGTAAACTTTTACGTCAGCCCCACAAAGTTGTGACCGCCACTAAATTGAAATACATTTTCGAACATTCTTTAAGCGTAATAAATCTTCGAACTTCGAGAAACCTGTCATGCGTTTAGAAATCAAAATTACAAAATTTTATTTGATCCTAAAAGTATGCATTTGTTTTTTGTTATTCTTCTTTGCTGCTATATCTAAGATACAAGTTACCGGTTAATTTGTTTCATATGTGTGCTAAAACTTTGATGCGTTTTATAAATTATTAAAATTACAGAAAATTACATTTTAAAATATGAACTTAAATCGTATCTTAAAAGTCGAAGTATTCCGAAAAGCAATATAATCGATATCGATAACAAGAGTTTTGGCCCGCAAAAACACAATAGCTGAGTATCGTTAAAGTGGCCCTCAAACATCGATACATGCATGCGATATTGGACTTGTCACTAAGTAATATACTAAATAAATACCAAAGGAAAAACTCTGTCATCGTCATCGTTCATTGTCTTTTCATTAATTGCTTGAAAAAGTAAAAAAAGGCCGGATTAATTTTTATACGGGTAGAAAATTTAAGTTTAAAACAATATTGGCGGAAACACATGCCAGTTGCAACTGCCGTACACACCCATATACACGTACTGTGCAATACTGCGATAGTTTAACACCACCAAAAGCAACAACAATAACAACCTAAAAACCAAACACTGCCCCAAATTCGTGAATCACCAACGAAATAATGGAACAAACACAGATTACAGATGCGGAAAAGGTTCGCATTGTCTCCGAGTTTATACTGCATGCTCCACCCGGCGAATTCAACGAGGTATTTAACGACGTCCGCGAGCTACTGAAGAACGACTCCTTGCTGAAGGATGGCGCCAGCCACGCCTTCTCCCAATACAACAAGGACCAACTAACGCCCGTGCGGGTCGAGGGCAGTGAACACAATGCGATCATCTCAGAGTACAATGATTTGGGTAATTATTCCAATTCCAATTTATACGACTTAACCTGTAGGGGGTGGGGGTAGGCAATAGGAGTAGGAGTGGGCGTCAGCTGCTGAGAGTTTGTTTGCTTATGTTTTTATGGCGTTTGCCATATATGGGCATACGCTTCAAAAAGACAGTCAGCCGAAGCACACACACACGCACAATATTTACAACTGGCTACAGTGGAAGCAATCGCCGTTGAATCGAATATAAATAGAAATATGAATTAAAGTAAATGCTTGAATAAAATAATTACAATAATTAATAAGAGGTAAATCAAGAAACTTTAAATAAAATTTTAAATGAGAATTTCATTTATTTTTGTTTTATCAAAAATTAGTCATAGATAAAGTTGGCTGCAGTTATTCCCCTTTTAAAATCGTTTAACTTAAATATTTATTATTTTATTATTTCTAAATTTAGCCACTCAGCATTTTGTAAAGCTTTCTTATCATAAAAGATTTAGATATTGATAAGATATATATATATATATATATATATATATATATATATATATATATCTTATCAATATCTAAATCTAAATCTATATATATATATATATATATATCTTATCAATATCTAAATCTAAATCTATATATATGCATTTGCTTTTATATACATTTTCTTATCTATTTTGTTTACATTTACAGGGAATGGTCGCTTCTATGATCCTCGCACAAAGCAGTCCTTTAAATACGATCATCTAAGGAAAGAGGCGTCCGACTACCAGGACTTGAAGGCCGATGCCAATGCGGAATCGTGGCGAGCTGCACTGGATCTAGCAGCTTTAGCATATACCGCCAACCACTACAGGCATGGCGTAAGTTCAATTAACTAAATATTTTCTTAAATATATATATTTATGAACGATTTATTTGGGCTGCAGGTGAGCTCAGTATTTGGCAAGTCGCAAGGCAATCAGGTGACGCTGACCATTTGTATTGAGGATCATCAGTTCCAGCCGAAGAACTATTGGAATGGCAGATGGCGTTCGCAGTGGCACGTTAGCTTCCAGGCTGGCAGTGGCACGGCGGAGCTGAAGGGTGTGCTAAAGGTTCAGGTGCACTACTATGAGGATGGCAATGTTCAGTTGGTGTCATCGAAGGATTGTCGCGAGAGCGTTGTCGTATCCAACGAACAGCAGTTGGCTAATGAGGTCATACGCCTGATCGAGGAGGCGGAGAACGAGTATCAATTGGCCATCTCGGAAAACTACCAAACTATGTCGGACACCACGTTCAAGGCGATGCGGCGACAGCTGCCCATAACCAAAACCAAGATTGACTGGAGCAAAATCGTATCTTACAGTATTGGTAAAGAGCTAAAGACGCAATAAGAACAGGAGCAGCAAGCGGAAGCCGGTGGCACGCCAATATCCCCGTTGCCCATGGCAGTGCCGGCGCAGTCCCAGATCAAAAGACCCAACAGTCTTCCACTTGCAATGGCAAATCGAGAGTAGTGAACGGATCGGAGCGGAAGTCGCAGCAAGAACCATATATATACACTATCTATTTACGATCGTTAAATGTTGGCGCTTATGTAATAACTGTCTTTAATTTGCTTATCTTTTACAACCACAACACATGCATCAATACTTAACTACTACATCTACATACATATACATGCACAGAGCATACATTTCTTATCTGTTATATTATGATGAAAGTGGATATGTATATATATATAAACGGAACACACACACACTCACACAAACACATACTATGTGCATATATGTATGTGCAACGTAATGTATCAAATCAATTAAACTTGGATGATTGTCGTCAGCTCGAACCTGGATCATAGTCACAATCGCCACCAACAGTCGCCTTTATCGTTTAATTAAGCGCGTGTTTTTAATTATAATAATAATAATAATAATAATAATAGAATGCATGTACTTTCAACAATGTATTATAAACTTATAAGAGCATCGGTCCATTTATGTGTGTAACCCTTGTCTCTCTCTCACTGAAGCTGGCATCAGTTAGATCTAAGTGACAGCACCTTGCAACAGCAGCAGTAAACAATTTATATAAAATCTTTTTTAAAAAACGAACAATATTTTAATGCATTCAATAAACACATCTACACAATTGCAAGATAATTGACAAAAACTATTAATAATACGAATATACATATATATACAAAGAAAGGAGCGCTGCATAAACAAACAAAAATGTAAGTTTTTTGTTTAAGACTTTTTTTTATTTTTGAAAATTTTTGTACACTAAAACGGATATTTAAAAAGCTTGCATAGTCAAATTTAACACGAATAAATAATATAAATTGAAAATTTTATTCATCGCATGCGTCCACCATCCGCAGTATGAACAAAGGCCGAAGACTCCTCCGCTTGATGAAGTGGTTGTGGTTTCGGGTATGTCTGTCTCTCATAATGTGGTACGCCTTCTGGTAATTCCGTGTGATTGCGTTCTAAAGGAGCCTCCATGGAGTAATCATTTTGCTTTTTAATTAAAAACCGCTTATTGGGATGCTGGTTCGCTTCCAATTCAAGTCGATCTATGAACCAGCCTTTTTCTCGATTTGTTGCCCAAAAAAAAACTGTACCTTTGTCCTTGGGTCCACGTACAGAAATCTCAAATTGGGCCCTATCCGCATTGCATATATTGTTGGCATTGGACATGTCAAAGCCAGAGTCTTTAATGGGTTCGCCTAGCAATCCAACAGCACCTGTAAAAATTTGTTTACAATTTAGCCGAACAGCTGGTATTGGTCTATCCCCTTACCCTTGTGTTGGCGTAGTGTTTGCATGGCCAATTTGTAGTATTCTGTGGAACGAACACGATCTTCAAGTTTCCAGCGCATGAACATAACTGCTGAAATGGACACCATCGCTCCATACACACATATGTTGCCCAGTGTTCGATTGGACGGAAGCCGCAGCTTGATTGTCGGCATTCTTGTATTGAAATTTGCCTTTGCTCAACTTGTATAATTTAGTTATCGCTCAAATACCGGCGCAGGGATGATTTCGATAGATTGTTACATGTGTGCCCGTTTGGCAAATTTAATCTGATTATACAACTATATCGCAGCAGTTCGAGCGTGTTATAAATAGGAATGAATTAGATCTGAACTTGAAGTCGTAGTCAACTATAAATTTAACAGCTATGAATAATCTGACGCTTACTTTAAATATGCTAAGGCAGCGCCTCACAGTCTCAACGATTGCTGCGCGCTGCTATGCAGCCAAGCCGGTGGCAGCAGGTGAGTTTCTTAACTTTGTAATTTATTCTTCATATTGATAATTGAAATATCTAACAATATAGTGGGCAAAAAGAAGAAGCTTGGCAAGCTGGGGCCTATAATGGAAAAGAAGGTTATACCAGTCGAAACGGATGCTAATAAATTGGTGAACTACGTGTGCGGCAGCAACTACCTAAAGACGGGTGAAGACATCAAGGTAAATGTGAATTCAATAAAAAACTAACTAACTAAACTGGCGCTAATCTTTACTCATTTGCAGCTGAAGCCCGACGCGGAGTACCCAGATTGGTTGTGGACTCTTAATACAGAACGCATCATACCGCTGGAGGAATTGGACCCCGATACCAAACAGTATTGGCGCCGCCTGCGTAAAATGGCGTTGCGTCGCAACAATCAATTGTCCAAGCTGAAAAAGTTCTAAGTACGTTATTTTTTTTGTGACAGGTGCTGGTCACACTAGCCACCTGACCTTCAACTGTTTAAATGAATCGTGTGTCGCGTTCTTTGGTCAGCCGAGAATTCATTCTATTTGCCTTGCTGTTGGAGCAAGAATAAACACTTCGATTCATTTTATTGCTACGTTCTTGTAGCACATGTATACAAGCTTTTATTTAACAACAACTTGCACTTATCGATTATATTGTTTGCACTCTTTTACACGTACAAAGCGTATAAAATACAAGCGTAACACAAAAAGTTGAATCAATTCAAAAGACTAAGTTGAAATGTGGTCTTATATAGCTTTGCTTTTTGCTTTGACAGCAGTTGCAGAAGCAACGGAGCCCGCTAGTAAGTACTTAAGTTTGGCAAGAGTTCAATAATAATATCCTTAAATTCGCACTCAGAGCATGTTGTGTGCTACCAGGGCACTTGGTCTGTTTATCGGCCGAAGGAGGGAAAGTTTGGTGTGGAGGACATAGATCCGTTTCTTTGCACACACTTGGTTTATGCTTTTCTGGGCATACAGGAGAGTGGCGATCTCCGTGTCATAGATCCCTATCTAGACCTGGAGGACAACGGAGGACTGGGCAACATCCAGAAATTTAATGCGCTTAAATTAAAGAATCCGACGTTGAAAACGCTTCTAGCTGTTGGCGGCTGGAACGAGGGCTCAAAGCGCTTCTCGATTGTGGCCAATGATCCAGAGAAGCGTTCGCGTTTCGTCGAGCAAGTTGTTCAGTTTTTGCAGCGACATGGCTTCGATGGACTGGACTTGGATTGGGAATATCCAGGACAGCGTCATAATCTGACCGGCAACAATGATCGCGAAAACTATATAACTTTTCTGAAAGAGCTTAGGGCGGGGCTGAATCCTTTTGGCTATATACTCAGTGCTGCTGTTGGCTCGGCAGAGTTTTCCGCGAGTATATCGTATGATATACCAACCATATCTCAGTACTTGGATATAATTAATGTCATGGCTTACGACCTGCACGGTCCTTGGGATGAATCTGTGGCTATAAATGCGCCTTTATACGCTGGTGCAAATGATACCACGGAACGGGCGCAGCAGCTGAATGTGGATGCTGTTATCAGATATTGGCTAGACGCTGGTGCACCGCCTGAGAAGCTGCTGCTCGGAGTGCCCTTTTACGGTCGTACCTTCACACTAGCTTCAGCCGAAGGGCATATGCCTGGTGCAGACCATATAGGACGCGGCATTGCAGGCCCATACTCGCGGGAGCCAGGAGTTCTGGGCTACAATGAGTTGTGTGAGCTCTTTCAGCGCGAACAGTGGACGACAGGCTGGGAGGCAGTGCAACAAGTGCCATTCGCCTACAAAGATCGCCAATGGCTGGGCTACGAAAACACGAACAGCTTAGTGCTGAAAGCACAATATGCCATGGAGCACAAACTGGGCGGCATAATGATTTGGTCGCTTGAGTCGGACGATTTTCATGGTAGCTGTGGGGGCGAGAGTTATCCATTACTGCGCAACATAAACCGCGTGCTCTTCGGAAGGGACAATCCAACAGGACTCGCGGCTGAGGTGCAGCCAGCAGCAACGCCTCGCAGCCGAGTTGGGGTCGAAGACTATTGCCACGACACCGATGGCTACGTTAGGGACTCGCACAATTGTTCCAAGTTCTATTACTGCAGCGCCGGTTCGACTTTCCAGTTTGCTTGTCCAACTGGTCTGTCGTTTGATTACAATACAAATAGCTGCAACTATGTTGATTTAGTAAAATGCTAATGGGAATGCACGGCCAAAAGGATTTATTATTTACTGACTACAATTTACTGTTATAAACTCTGTTACAGAAAGTTATTCAACTATCTTCAAATTGAGGGGTAAGTCGCGGAAGTTGTAGCCTTCTTGGCCTGGACGCCAGGTGACAAAGTCGTTTGAACATTTTACCTGTTCAGCGGGCTTGCATTGACTCGATACCTCGTCGAAGAAGTCTCCGTCTGGGCACTCGTAATCGGTGCGCTGGGCGTCGCGGCATTCGTAATACGATTGACAGTTCCATAGATTGCGGAACATTCCGTCCTTGGGGCAGAGGCCGACGCCCTCGGTGGTAGGCGCTGCGGTTGTCAGAACAGATGGGTTACCTATTTGCGAGACGATTACCTTGAGTAGAGCGTAACGTTCTCCGCATCGGCCGTGGAAGTCGTCGGCATCAATGGACCATGCCATTGCGCCACCCAACCGTTGCTCCTTAGCCAGACGCATCTTAGCGCTGATGCTGTTGCCGTCCTCAAAGCTGATCCACTGATCATCCTTATAGGCATATGGCACTTGCGCCTGTTTGTCAAACTTCTTCTCCCACTTGACCGCCTGCGAGCAGAACTCGGCGTAGGTCATGAACCCGGGCCGCTTCGAAAATACGTGCTGCAAGCCAGGCCCCTTGCTGGGTGCATGCACATCCGTTTTGCTCATGTCACGAATGGTATGCGTCTGTCCAAACAGCGGAATGCCGAGAATGAGCTTCTGTGGCATTTCGCTCTGCTGGATCCAGTGCTTGACGCCACGTGCCACACTCTGACTTCCGTTTCCGTGGAGCGGTGACATGTAGTTCAGCTGCTGCCCGTATATATCCTGTGAGTCGTGGGTGTTAAGAATAATGAAATCTGCGATTTTCGCTATCTTGCGAATGTTGTAGGCGGCGAGGGTCTGCTTATCCAGCCGAGCAGAAACGGTAACCAGGAGCAGAAAACGATGTTCCTGCAGACTATTTGGGGAACGTTAGAGTCTGTTGTATTTAATGGACCCCTCCACCTTCACTTACATAATCTTCAGTTCTTTCAATAGTGTGAGAAAGTTATGTCGGTCATCGGGCCGGCCACCGTGCTGGGTCGGAAACTCCCAATTCAAGAGCACTCCACTAAATTCACGTTCGACGAGGAATTTCATGAGCGTTACAAAGAAATGATCGCGTTTGCGTTGGCTAGCTGCCATCTTGGAGAATCTTCTGGAATCATCCTTCGTGTCACCAACGGATAGAATTGCCTGATAGTTGTCACGTCTCACATTTAAGATATCATTCAGAAGCCCTGTAAGATTCGCTGTTAACTAGAGACAGCCTGCAACTAGTTCCATAAGATACTTGCCACGTTTTTCCAGCACTGCCTCATTAATAACTTTCAGGCCGCCCGACCCATTGGGGTCCAAACTGGCGACATTGCCATACACGAAATGCGTGCACAGCTTCTTATCTATACTCCACGAGTTGAAGTAACTCAATCCTTTGCGATTGTAGGAATCCGCATCCCAATGGCAAAAGATCGAATCTACAGATCAGGATTATATATAGCTGTATATACATTTTATATTTGTACTCACATTCTGAGTCTGTTGCCTGGCTGCAGATCAGCGAAATTAAAATAAAAAAAATTACATGCAGGACTTTCATAATGCCAATTGCAATTACATCTAATAGTTAAAACACTAGAAATTTAAGATTATTTTATATATACTTCTGATCTGCGCTCTTTCGAGTGATACGGTTTTTGAAATAAATTCAAATAAATAAATACAATTTAAGTTTAACTAATTTAGCTTGGAAGTGTGAGGCGCCTTCTGATGTCTGGCCTAGGTCTAATAAAGAGAGTTACATGTATTGCAAGGGTTACTTAAATTCGGTTGAAAGGAATATATGATAACTATGATTTTTTTAACTGGTATTGCTCTAAGCGGGTAAGGAACTCGATTGAAAGGTATTTTATTCTGAAAAGGTAGTTTACTTATCAGAACTATAAGAACATATTCTTTGTCATTAAAATGGGCTTAGATACTTAGTAAGTCCGCATGGGATATTAGGCTAGGTCAGGTTAGGAGTGTTTGGGAGTGGTAGTATTAGAGGAGAAATGGAATCTGCTTGGGTCTGAGTCCTTCGCTGCTGGCTCAAATTCATTCTGAACATATTAAATATAATCGTACAACTAACAGCTTGGTTCATAAGTATATTATACACTGCTCATATATGAAAGTAGACTTATATCAGCAAATATATGTTCATGTATTTTTATTTTATTTTGGGGCAATCAAATTTTAATGTGCCATTAAATGTGGCAATAAAAAAAGTCAACTCAGGTATGCTTCAGATTCTTTTTCCAGCTGAGCAACCGGACATATGCATACATGTACATATACAGACATATAATATACATATATACATATACATAAACATACACATATTCATATACATTCAGGGAGTAGCGCATCCGGCACTTTATGTGTGAACAACAATGAAACAAATTTTACGATTATTACTGATTTAAAAAACAAAGTCGATCGATTTTACGCCAATTCGTTTACATAAATACACAAATTTAAGTGCAACATACTCCACTGCTGACTATATTACAAGAGGACTGCCTCGGTGTGTCTCCTTCTGGTAACTTAGTCCTGAGAACCAGCGAAAAGCATATAAATTGCCATCAAAATCATTGAATACAGCTGTTTCTTAGTTAAGAGAAGATAGAGGAAGAGAGGGAGAGAGAGAATGACAGAATGAGAGAGAGAGACAGAGAAAGAAAATGAGTGAGGGGCGGAACAACAGCGAGACTGATATGAACAAAGAACAAGAGGGAGGCAGACAGAGAGACGGAGAGACAGTAAGACAGAGAGAGAGAGAGAATAAGTGAAAGATGAAGAGTGAGAGAGAGAGATAGACAGACAGATAGAGAGAGAGAGGATAGAATAAGAGAGTGAACGAGAGAAGCAGAGAGAGATAGGTACAGGAAGAACAAAAATAAGAGTGAGAGAGATAAAGATAGAAAAAATGAATGAGAAATGGATGGAAACAGAAAAAGAGTAAGAAAGAAAACTAGTTAGATAGAGAGAGACAGTGAAAATACTTTCCATAGCAGTATTTGACATACTAATCAATTATATATATTACTGAGTCTGACACATCTCAAAACAAATTCAAATTGCACTCTTAATGAGGTGCAGGCACATATACCTGTACAAGTAGGTAAGCGAGATGAGGTCCATAAATTCGGACTCTTAAGCGTAAGTCATAAATCTGATATTGGCATAACTAGGCATGTCTGGGAAAGGGAGCTCGACGTTTCACACAGACGACTTAAAAACAGTATGCTTAAAGCTGCAGACCTCTACTTCCACAGTGAGTTCTGGCTATGATGGTCTGCATGCTCGAGAGTGCAAAGAGATTTTGGTGTTTATCGTTTCAGGGCCTGACGTCTGCAGTGGCAAGGAAACGTTTGATCGTAAATGGCAAAAATAAAATGAATTTGCCGGAGAAACCCGAATTCCGATGTCGAAAGTACTTGAGAAACTGTTTTTGTGGCTTGGCCTCAATCATATTTATTTCCATTGTTGCCTGCTTCATTCTGGACCACATTCAGCAGGATAAACGTACGGATACGGGACGCGACTTTGAATATTTGGTAGTCGGAGTTATTTTATTGATAGTTTTTCTAGTGTCTGGACTTTTTCGTTACATTCAAGAGAACAACGACTTCCTCGTTGCATGGGCCTTCATGGACCTGATGCCCATGTACTGCACAGTGCTCAGAGATGGCCGCAAGCAGATAATACGCTCGGAAGACGTTGTTGTGGGCGACATACTGATGATCATGTATGGCGAGCGCATTGCGGCCGATGTTCGCGTCTTTGTCTCACACGACTTGGAAGTGAACAATGTCGCCCTCACCGGTTACTCGACTTCGGTTATAATCATTCCGAACATCAGTCATCCAAACAAGTGGATCTCTCGCAATGTGGGCTTCGCGTGCAGTCATGTCACGAAGGGTTCTGGCCGAGGCTTGGTCATTGCTTGTGGCGTTGATTCCGAAGTTGGGATCATGGCGCGTTTGAGCATGGAACCGCGTCCCTTAACCAGGCCACGTAAGCATATGCGACAGGTCAGCAATGTTAGCTTGGCATTTGCAATTCCAATTCCAGTTTCCGTCTTCCTTCAGGTTAGCTTCTATAGGTACACCTTATGCGCCATCATGTGTCTTGCGTTCTTCTTATCATTGAGAATGGAGGGCCCTCCGGCCCCAATCCTGCTAGATTTCTATGTTAGCTTTACAATATGTTCGTCACCTGTCTATTTGCCCACCTTGATTTTTTTCGGACTGTGGCATACCAAACGCCAGCTGCTGAAGATTGGCTGCTATGCACGAAACATGGAGGCTGTCTCGACACTGGGACTGACTACAGTAATTTGCAGTAATTTAATCGGTTCTATGACACAGAGAGCTTGGAGGGTCTCAGAGTTGCTGGTGGATGGCGAAATGCTCAACGTGCAAAAGGACTTCGTGGCGACTAATCACTTTTTCGATCTGATTCGCGCTTCGATACTGTGCAATCACGCCTACGTCACGCCCGGCCAGAGGGGCTTGCCCAAAAGCGAGCATAACTTCGATGGCACTGACTACGACAAGGCCTTGCTCAAGTTCGGCAGCCAGTTCGTGGCGAGCATTGAGATGCTGCGCGTCCAATTTAAGAGATTGGCCAGTAAGTCCTTCGACGCCATTACCCACTTGCAGGTGAGCGTCCACAGTACAGAGAACGTCGATGGCGAGACAGAATATCACCTATTTATACGTGGGCATTTGACTGAGGTCATGGACCATTGCAGCACCTGTTACATGAAAGCTGATGAGCCCAAAAAGCTGATCAGGTCTGTGCGCAATTCCGTTGTTAAGAAAGGTTCAATGATGGATCAGCTGGGCAGGCATACATATGGTTTTGCCTCGAAGGTATTGACGGCTGATGACTATATGCTCTCGTTGATCTCGAACGGCTTCAGCTACAGCAAAAAAAACACATATAACACTTTCATGCAAACGTATTCTTATTCAATGTGCTTTCTGGGGCTCATTGCCGCAAACAATCCGCCGTATCCCAATATCATAAGTGCGGTGGATCAGTGCCGAAATGCAGGCATCAAGCTGGTGCTCTTGACCCGTGCGGACGTCAGTTTTTCGCGTGCCGTTGCCAAGTCTGTGGGCGTCATTGGCGAGCTCAACGAGACCGCTGAGGATGTGGCGAAACGACTTCGCATACCCATAACTCGGGTCGAACGCCGGATGATAACAGCCGTCACGGTCAACATGCATACCATGAGTAAGCAGCCGCATCACCAGCGCTGGGATATCGAGCAACTGCTGCTCGCCCACGTGGACGTCGTCTTCAACCGCATTGCTGTCTCCCAGCGCCATTTGATTATCGACGTCTGCCTAAAACTGGGCGCTGTGGTAACAGCGATCGGTAGCTCAGTCCACGATACGTCAGCTATTCGTTGCGCCAACGTGGGTGTCTCGGAGAGCGCCTCGTCAAATGTCAGCCAGTCCTGTGCCGACCTCATTGTGCTGGAGAACAACTTCGTCACGTTGGTAAAGGCCATTGCCAAGAGTCGCCTGCTATTTGAGAATATGAAAAAGGCCGTGGTCTATGCGCTCTCCTCGAATATGGCCCATCTAATGATTCACCTATTTTTCATAGTGCTAAAGATGCCGTTTCGAATGTTTCTGTTGCCTTCCATATTTATAGCATTTTTCGTGAATCTGGTAAGGAGTTGCTTCTGAAGCTACTACAGCTATTCCCATTTAGTTGCTTTCTAGATCCCGGCCTTGACGCTGTTCTATGAGCCCCCAGAAATAGATCTAATGAAAGTGAAGCCGAAAGTCAATGAGGATTTCCTGATCAACCGACGGTAAGGCTGTGCATGGATTTTGTTAATGGATCTGAACTGAACTTCCACTCACGCATTAGCATGTTGTTTGTGGCCTTCATCACTGTGGGCTTGCTAGAGGCCTGCGCCGTAGGACTGGCCTTCATTGCGTACATGTTGTTCAACGGGTTTCTGCCTGGATTCTTGCTCGGGCTCAGCGTGCGATGGTATGATGATTCCGTCAATGACTTGGTTGACTCCTATGGCCAAGAATGGGCAAGTATCATCGCATCTCAGCGTATCATCTTCTATATCCTCAACTGCGCTTACAGACGCGCGGTGCACGGTTGCAGCTGGAGTATGAGATAACTTCAGTTACCATCATCACCTTAACCATAATGCAGGGCGTCAATCTCGTCCTGACCAAGGCAGGGCGTGCAAGTCTCCTGAGTCATGGCTTCCTCAACGTTCGCCTGAACATTGCCATTTTCTATATGATCGGCATCTGCATTTTGTTCACCTTTCTAAGCTCGCCAAACGTACTAAAGTGTTTACCCGTCGAGTGAGTACCCTTGATGGAGCATATCGAATATAGTTATCTTATTTTACGGCTTGCAGCTATCTACCCATCTTTCTATATATCTTTCCGGTGGCTATACTGACCATCATTGTAGAATCAATGCGGCGGTTTATATTGAGGAAATATGGCGGCAGTTGGATCGAGGAAGTATCATATTACGGATGTACATAAGAATAATATATTGAAGAGGCGGGCAATTATTTAAAGGAATAAAGGATAAAATGTTCATGTCTACTGTCTCAATGTTAATGTTTTATAGATATATATAATAGAAAGGAATATTTATATAATGGTCTAAAACTAATATAATATCAAGCTGTGAATGGTGCACAGAGGAATAGATGAATCGAAGAATATATGAATATATGAATATATGAATATATGAATATATGAATAGATAAATAAATGAATAGATAAATACATGAATAGATGAATAGATGAAAAGATAAATAGATGAATAGAAGAATAGATGAATAGATAGATGAATATATGCCTATATATGAATAGATGAAAAGATGAATAGATAAATAAATGAATAGATGAATAGATGAATAAATGAATAGATGAATATATGAATATATGAATATATGAATATATGAATATATGAATATATGAATAGATAAATAAATGAATAGATGAATATATGAATATATGAATATATGAATATATGAATAGATAAATAAATGAATAGATGAATAGATGAATAGATGAACCGATGAATATATGCCTATATATGAATAGATGAAAAGATGAATAGATAAATAGATGAATAGATAAATAAATGAATAGATGAATATATGAATAGATAAATAAATGAATAGATAGATGAATAGATGAACCGATGAATATATGAATATATGAATATATGAATAGATGAATAGATTAATAGATGAATAGATGAACCGATGAATATATGAATATATGAATAGATGAATAGATTAATAGATGAAAAGCTAAATAAATGAATAGATGAATAAATGAACAGATGAATTGTTGAATAGTTCAATAGATGAATAGATGATTAGATTATATGAATAGATGAACATGAATACATGAATACATAAAATCAGATGACAATCTCTTGATCGTTATCTTTCGAGATTCAAATTCTATGCAATTATAACTCTAAGATCGTTCATACTCACGCTCACCTTTATGTTTCTTAATATTTATGAAACTCTTTTATTTATTTATGAAATATAGAACAAAGACGCCTTGATTTAATGTATTTTTAAAATATTGCATTTATTTTGGGAATAGCTCGAAGCTGTGGTGGTGTATCTGCAATTACTCACATCAATATTGTGTGTGGGTGTGTGTGTGTGAGTGTGCGTGTGAGTGTATGAGTACCTTGTAGATTAATTAATTATTTAATTAAAGTTGCATATTAATATATTGAGTTTCTACATGCAGTTATTTATGTAGGTACGAGTAATTTTTTATTTATTTTTATTTAGTTTTTTAGGACTTTACACGGTTTGCTTTTGCTTTCAACATCAATATCAATATTTGGTTTTATTTAATGCTATTTTGCTTGTAAATTGTAAATATGCCTTTTGATTAAACTGTTGAACATTAATGCATATACTATTTATGTTTGTATGTATTTCGTATTTGTATTTCGTATTTTGTTGCTTTTGGTATTCATATTTCGATTATATTTAGTTATGAATGCATTGAGTGCACATTTAGATATTCAACGTTGTTTTTCCATCTATTTGTCGAGTATTTGAAATAATTTTCATAAATTTCAGAATTCTCTATACGTACTTAAGTTATTCTCTTCTCTATGTCCGGCAACTAATAGAAACGCAAATCAGTTGAGAACTGATTCTAGAAAGCAGTTGCTGAGGTCTTCGTATAAAAACTAAATTTGAGCAAATAAACTGCGAAAATATAGTTGAGTAATTCGTTGCTTTCGATGTTCTTTTCTTGTCATATATTTAAAACTTGGTTTGTGTTTTAACTGAAACCGAATAATTTGTTATTTTCTTCTTTTTTTTAACGACATTTGCTTTGGGTTCAATATGAAACAAGCTGAAGGCGGTGGGATCACTGTGATCACTTTTTATCCAGGACTTGGAATATCGTCTATATATATATATATGTTTTTATATATATGTATCTATAATATGGCATCAATGTGTACTACGGGTTGTGCTCCAATCTATGCAAAGTAAAGTATCGTAATGCCTGGGTTAAGAGATTTGTGGGGTTTCTTCAAAGTTTCTCAATTCTCGATCTGTTCAAAAAATCTGTGTGTGGTCGCTAAAGTTTTCTTCTTCTTGTACTGAGCTCTCTTTGGGCTTTGAGTTGCCTTTTAAAATACTCCAAAAATTATCATTATTATCAATTTATGTGACGTGTTTTAAGTTTAAGTTTTTCTCGTTTTCGCTTTTGGCTTTTTGGTTTTCTTCAACACATTTTATTTTTAAATATATATAGATTTAAGTACATATTTAAGTATATATATTTGCTGTTTGTATATATGTGTGTGTGTGTTAGTGTATATTTATTTAAAGTAATTTATTTAAAGTAATTGCGTTTACATTGTAATTCTATTGAAGTTGTTCGATAATTTGACACTAATTTAGTTTTTTTTTTTTAAGTTTTTTAGTTTTTTCTCTTCTTTCGAAATAAAACATCGCATTAAAAATACTTGCGTTATTTATTTAGAATTCGCTTAAAACAAATCGTGTGTAGACAGGCTCTCTGGTATTGGTATGGCATGGTAAGGGCTGCAGGCGTGCCCGATTCTCTCTGCGCTTCCTCTTCAAAGACCTCATTTGTATCCCCGATAGACTCGACTCGTATTTTCAGAAATCGTATTTCGTAAATTGTAATTTTGGTAAGCCTAAATTATTTGGTTTTGTGTGGTTGGGTGTCTTTAGAAGAAGGAGGCGGGGCAAATTGTAGTCGGTCAGGTGCGACCATCTGCGGTGCGCAGCGTATAAAAGTCGTAGGGTTAGACGCCTTGGGCTAGACTCTCCTTGGGCAGCGCTATGATGGACTGATCCATGCCCTGGTGCGGAATGATGAAAGGCGAGGCCAGCATCTGGAGGGGCCTGTCAAGCATAGATAATACATATACAAAATCTCTTCAATCTCTGACTCCCAACTCTGAGCTATTTACTCGGCAAAACTGGTGGCTGTCACCACCGGCTGGCGCACAGTGTGTAGCGCCTGGGAGTTCTTGGCCCGCGCCAGCAGGCTCATCACGGTGCGCTTCGTGGGATTCATTCCGGATCGTGGAACGCCCAGCAGCGGTCGCTTGCGGCCCAGGCCACCACCTGCAACGATAAACAGAGTTGATCCACATGCCACGCCGCACGCCCATCGATTAACTGCAACGCACCTATGTTGATGGCCTTCACGTTGCGCAGCGCCGGATGCAGCAGAGCTCCAGGCGGTTCGAGCAGCGTCAATGTCGATGTGTTTGCGTCCCCATCGCCGGCCAGCTGCAATGCTGCGGCGCTGTTCTGCGCGCTGGGCAGACCAGACATGGCGCCGGCTACGCCCACCCCAGGCGCTGGCTTCAACAGGCCACCAATGCCGGCAGCCGTTAGCTGATGCTGCAGCGCCACAGCCATTGCCGTTGTGTGCACTGCAAGGGAAATGTAAATCCAATTTTCAATGTGATTTCAAGGAGTTAAATGCGAGAATTTATAGAAGGATATTGACTAAGTAATATCCTGTAGACAAGTCGGCTAGAAGAGTTGGTACTTTATATATATATTGATATATATGTATGTATGCAGCCATACATATATACATACATACATACATACAGACATATGTACATACATAAAAACATACATACATACATACAAGCATACATACATACATACATACAAGCATACATACATACATACATACATACATACATACATATATACATACATAAATACATACATATATACATACATAAATACATGCATACATACATACATACATACATACATACATACATACATACATACATACATACATACATACATATATACATACATACATACATATATACATACATGCATACATACATACATACATACATACTTACATGCATACATATTTAATATATTCATATACATGCCCATATACATCATATATACATTATACATGCAAGAAAACATGACATGATGTATATATTCATGACATGTTTTCTAGCATTTTCATGTATTTGTGTAAGGATATCTCCAAGCACCCTCAAACACAGAGTCCCTAGTACACGCAGAAGACGATAGATGGCGCATCATGATATGAGTCTGTTTCTATTTATATGCTCTAGACTGCTGGCATGTGGCAAATGACCCAGTAGCATAAAGTTGCAGCAGGATAATGATCAAAGAAATGTCTTCCAGTTGATATAGTTAACATGCGAGAACCCTGATGCTATGCCACAGCCAGCTAAGGCGTCGGAAATGAATCTTAAAAATTTATTAAGAGACTTGCGACATTTGTAAGTCAAATACCAGCCAGTTGAAGATAGATATAAGAAACGTGGTTGGGATTTCTATGTTTTCAAAAACATCGCAGCTATATGAAGTTGCCTATTTGGCTTTAGCATTTAAATTTAAATAAATGCAATCGAGTTGAACACGCTCATGTAACTATGTATATCATGAAGCATATATAAAACCTATATCTTATATGTGAATCAACTATATCTAACTTCTATCGGTATCCACAGCATAAATACAATTATTGTTATTTAAAACAAATTCAAAGTTAAATTCTTAATTTGACATGGAAAGGATGCGCTCGCGTGCCCTTCTATGCGATTCTCAAGTGCTGCCCAGCGAGTTTCATGATTTAATTACAAATGTTAATGCGGACAGAAAGAGGTATTAAAAGGAAACGCAGCAGGAGCTAATGAGCAACTTCGGTTTGATATATATATATATATATATATTTCATGAAATTTGATTATTGCCGGAAATTGGATTCGCTTAATGCGCATTACAATGGCGAGTTGCGCTGCGTGAGGATGTCCACACTCTCATCTCAGTTGACATTTTGTGCTAATTACATTTTCTTAGCCGGCGATACTCACGTGCTGCTGCTGTCGCTGTAGTCGCCTGGCCAGCGAGATGCTCTCCACAGGCGGCAGCCGCAGCTGCAGCGCTGGCTCCTCCGTGCGCTTGGAGCAGCTGATGGAAGTGCGCTGGCTGGTGGTGATGGTGGTGGTGGTGCTGTTGCTGCTGCTGCTGTTGCTGCTGCTGTTGTTGCTGATGCTGCTGATGCTGATGCTGTTGCTGATGATGTGGGTGGG